GGCACACAGTCATTTAACCTCTGTCTGCCTCAGTTTTCTCAACTATAAAATGAGAGTAATAATAGTACTTACCTCCCAAGGTTGTTGTGAGGATCAAATGAGAAAATATTTGTAAAGTGTTTACCCAGTGCTTAGCACATCATAGGTGCTTAATAAGTGCTTATTCCCTTCCCTTTCCTTCCCCTTCTTTGTCTGGAGTGTAGTTAAAGAGACATCAGAGCTTCTTTCTGAAGGAGAGTTACTCTGAGATGAAGAATCTGCCAGGCAGAACAGCATCTAGGACCCTGACTTAGAGAAACTCTGGACTCTTCTCCTGATTTTGTTTTCCCTCCCTAGTTCTCAGTTTTTTCCATCTATAAAATGGGGAAAGTTAGATAGAATCCAAAAATGTTAGAATTATAGAATATTAGAGCCAGAAAGGACTTGGGAAATCATTTGGTCCATCCTTCTTATCCTCTTATTTCTCATAGTTTCTCTCTCTCTCTCTCTCATCTTTTGTTTTCATATCCCATTCATTTCCAAATATATACCTTCCCCTTCAGCTACCCAGAGGGTCTTCCCTTTTAACAAAGATTAAAGGAGAAAAAACCAACAGTTCAGCCATGCCAGCTGACTGGGTTTGACAGTATGTGCAATATTGTACATCCATAGTCCCCCACCTCCCCAGTGAAGAGAAGGAAGTGAATTTTCCTAACTGCGAGTCTCATTCTATGATTTTTATTCTAAAATTATGTGACTTTGACTCACATTCTTTAATTCCGTGACTCTCCCCAAGAACTTGGAGGAAAGATAGAGAGCTCTGTTTGGACCGGTCCCTTGAAGGTTTGTCTGGATGTTACCCAAAAGGATGGAGAGTCCCAGACAATACTGAATATGCATACATCACCTTCTCTGCTCCTTTATAGAGAGCAGTGATTTTCACTGGGGAATTCCTGGTCCAGGCTGTCTCCCTGCCTGTTAATCTCTGCTTCCCTTTAAGCTGATTGTCCTTTTAATAGCTCAGGTGGTAGGTATTACCCGAGAGAACCAGGGCCTGGGGAAGCCTCTGCTTCCTGGGGCCAAAGGCTCTGAATGTCCAGCTGGACTGAGTACCCTCTCTCTGAACCCCACTATATATGCCCCCTCCCTTTATTGGTAGGTTTGAGGAGTCAGTCAGACCCAGGGCAACTCAAAGCCCTGTTGTCAGGGTGAGGACCTAGATGTCTGAGTGTTGGGGGCTAAGATATTAAAAAATAGCAGAATTGAAATCTTGGGATAGAAGATGGGACTATTTCCCCCCCAAATCTTTCTGTCTATCCATCCCTGTTGAACCATGTTGGCTCCAATCTAGGGTTTTCCTCCCCCAACTCCTAGGACCAGGGAAGTCTGCCACCATCAGACTGATCTACTGGTTCAGAGTAGAGGTGGGGGAGGTGGTGGAGATTGGTTCCATTTCTGTGAGGGGGGGGAGTGCTTTGTGGTTTTCTTCCTCTCTGGGTTTGTTTCCATGGGAACTGGCTGTTGCCATGGTGTTGCTGGGTGAGGAGCTGTCCAGGTGGGGGTTCCGCCTCTATGTCAGTAGAGGGTTTGGGGGAGGGAACTGATGAGTACACCTCCATCTGGGGACTCCATATCTCCCTCAGCTCATCTTCCTTCTCCTGCTTAGGCCATGACATTTGGTCCCTCTGCCTTTGTTGGACTGGGCTCTCTCATCGCCAATCTCCATCCTCTGCCTGATACGAAGAAGCATTATCCTTCACTGTCCCCTACAGCTTTCAGATGTATGACTCTAGAATACTACCTTAACAAGTCTGCTTAGATATTCCAAGGCAGGATGCCTTTCATTTTTTGTTTTTCCCTGGTCCTCTCACTGATAGAGGTAGACAAGTCCATCTGCCTCACTTTTCTCCTGGTCTTTCCTCCCAGGGTTTGATGGAGTCTTGGATTGCCCTCCTCCTTGCCCACTTTTTGTAGGTAGGGAAATGGTGCCCAGAGCAGGGCTGAGATGGAGCTGAGGAGGAATTCTTCTTAGCTTCTTACCCCAGTCCTCAAGGTAGATAGAGCATCTCTGGTTAGATTTGGGAAGTGGGCCGCCTAGGCCAGGGGCATCCATCAACAACGGTTTATTAATCACCAGTTATGTGCCAGGCACTGTGCTAAGTTCTGGGGATATAAAGACAAGTTAAACAGTCTCTGACCTCAAGGAGCCTACATTCTAAGGGGCTGGGGGTATCTAGGGACTCAATAAATAATAACCCACATCTCTCCAATACTTTGAAGTTTACAAAGTGTTTTCTTCACAACTCTGTGAATAGGTGAGGTAAGTTTTATTAGCTCCATTTTACAGTCACTTTCTGTCTTGCTAGAAAGAGTGATGCCTCAGACATATACTAGCTGTGTGACCCTGGGTAAGTCACTGAAGCTGTTTGCCTCAGTTTCCTCATCTGCAAAATGAACTGGAGAAGGAAATGGCAAACCACTCCAGTATCTCTGCCAGGAAAACCTCAAATGGATCATGAAGAGTCAGATACAACTGAAACGACCCAATAACAACAGCAACAACAGAAAGAGTGATGGCTAGTCTAGGTGCTCCATTGGTACCCACACTGTATCCGGAAACTAAAGTTCAGGCTACACAGTTTAGGCAAGTCTTTTGTCTCTGCGTCCCCAGGCAACTTTCTTAAGACTAGAAATTGCCTGAACGGTTAAAGATCTAGGCTAGTGGAAGGAGTTTCCTTATCTTGAGGAATGAAATCCCGGGTCTGGACTCATTCAGAAACAATAGTTCAGAGAACCCAGTTACTGGTCTAGGGTCACGAAAGCTAGTATATGTGGAAATTGAGAGCAAAAATCAGTGTTTTCCAACCCCAAGTCCTCTGCTCTTCCTACTATTCCATGCTGCTGCCTTTCTTTAGGTGAGGGATAGGCCTCGTCCCCAACCCCAACACCTTCCCTTCCATTCCTCGCCCAAGGAAGGACAGTCCATTTTTGTAGTCCTTATCCCTTGTGGCATAAGAGCCTCTGCCCCTGGGATATGCCCACCTCCTCCTGGCACCCTTGGGACACTTGGAAGTGGAACCTTGGATGAAAGTTGTCACTTTCTGACCTGACACCAGGCTTTCCCCTGTCCTTACCACCTCCCCTCCATCTCCACAGCTCTTGTGTACAACTTCTGTTGTGTACTAGCCGAGAAACTCAGGGTTCTACCCTCCAGACTCGGGGCCTGCTTTTTAGGACACAGCTCCTGTCTGTCAGCTTCCCCTGAGACAATCCTTTTCAGCCCTTGCTGATTCATCTGGAGAAATCACAGTGCCTTCTCTGAGCCCTGCCTTGACATACATGCTCAAGTGGGTGGATAGGAAGTGGAAGTGGAGTGGGGGCCACACTACTGAGGCAGGCAGAGAAACAGGCCTGTGGTCTACAGCAACGTGATTTATAGGAGAGACTCGAGACATTCGGGAGGCCTGGTTTCTATTCGTCCTCTGCCACTTAAGTCTCTGTGGCCCAGATAGTTTACTTCACCTCCATCTCTTGTTCTGTCTGAAACATATAGGGCTTGGACTAGGTGATCTGTAAGGTCACATTTGGCTCTAAGATTGCATGTCTCTGTCGTGTTGTGACTTCATCCCATCAGCCTTGATAGCTTCTCTATTCCTACCCAAACTCAGCTACATCGCTGCTGCCTCGGGATGGTCTGATGGGCCAGGCTCAGGGACAGGAGGAAGGGAGGGTTGGAGGCAGGAAGCCCAAGTCAGAGGGGTGTGGTGAAGGATTGAAAGTCAGCAGAAAAGACAGGGAGTGATGAAGGACTGAAAGTCAGCAAAAAGACAGGAAAGACCAAAGAAAAATGGGAGGAAGAGGAAGTGGTATAAGTTTGGGGCACCTTTCCCTTGTCCTGGGCCTCTGATTGTTACTCTGGAGCTGCAGAAGAGACAGCCATCCCTCAATCCCTCCCATATCCAGGACTGAGACCTGGCAGGGGAGGGGAAGTGAGGTGACCATTTCCCTTTCCCTGGGGGGTTTGTGCTTCGTGCTTCATCAGATTTTGGGGTTACAAATTGTGACTAGTGGAAGCCCATGTGCCTTGGAGAGTGGACTACTTCCTGTGTAGGATCTGTGACTCAGTTTCCCCTCTTTTCATATTATTTTTCTTAATAAGTTTTTATTGATATTTTCTGTTTCTTACATCACATAGTTTTCCTACATATTCCCTTCCCCTCCCAGAGAGCCATCTCAGACTTAGTTTCTTCTTGTTGACTGAAAAATGTTAGGGTTCAGGTCAGGATTCTGTGGGTCTAGTGATGAGCAGCAAATAGACATAAGAGATACCTGGGAAGCACTGTCATTGACTGTGACCCATATCTTCTTGAAACAATCAGTCATTCAAAAAGCATTTATTAAGCCCCTACTATGTGCCAGGCACTATTCTAAACACCAAGGATCTGAAGACATGGAATGAAATGTTTCTTACTCTTACAGAGCGTCCCTTCTACCAGGAGAAACAACACATAGACATAAAAGAAATTAAAAGCATATGAGGTAAATTAAAAATAATTTCAGCTGGGAAATAGGGAAAGGTTTCTCTTTGCTGGTGGCACTTGAAGGAATCCCTAAAGGAAGCTAAGGATTCTAACCGATGGAGGTGAGGAAGGAGATGGGGGACAGCCTGTATAAAGGGATGAAGCTAGAGATGGAATATTGGGTTTGGGGAGGAGCAAACAGGCCCTTTACCTGGACCATTGAGTTCATGAAAGAGCAGTGTGTAAGAGAGATACCCATCTGTACTTTTTATGGTTGGAACTTCCTCATTATTTCTTCTCTTTTTCCTGTCCCTTCTGCCATATGCCCAGCTCTATCTTTATGGCTATACTCTGGGCCAGAGTGAAGGAGGGAAGGGTCATTTCTGGAAGCTGGTTGGATACCCGAGTGTTCTTGGAGCAACAGTCCTCAGGATGGAGAACACCCTTTGGAATAGATGAGGGGAGACCTTCGCCCTTCTCAGACATTCTTTTGTGTTGTAGGGACTTCCTGCCCCGTGGATCTGGCATTGTGACCCGCCGGCCACTGGTCCTGCAGCTGGTGAATGCCACCACAGGTATGGGCTATAAGAGGTGCCCTTTTATAGGCCTAGTGCCCTGGCAATCTCCTAGTTCATACACTGAAATAGCACAAAATATTCCTCTTGGAATTCAGCTGCCTGGGTGTTCTTGGAAGGTTTGGGGTGGAGGCAGGGATGGGAGTGTACTTTAGGATGGAATATATCTTGTTAAGGATGAAAGAAGCTGGGGAACTAGTGTGACCTTCTTGAGGGAGGCTGAGGGTGGTAGTCCCTGGGGAGAGGACAAAAATGCATGTGTATGGGGGGAAGGGACTGAAGACAGGGATGGAGGGGTGATTCCAGAAGCCAAAGGTGACATCCCCATCCACTCTGTGCCCCGGGACAGAATATGCTGAGTTTCTCCACTGCAAAGGAAAGAAGTTTACAGACTTTGAGGAGGTCCGGCTGGAGATTGAGGCAGAGACTGACCGTGTCACTGGCTCCAACAAGGGCATTTCAGCGGTGCCCATCAACTTGCGGGTCTATTCTCCACATGGTAAGAAAGTGGTATAGGAGGGCTGCTCCCGTTGGGCCCTGCACCCACCCCCTTAGGAATCTTCCCCTTGGGCTCCTTCCATTTTCTGACTTCTACCTTTGGCCACACCTAATTTAGAATCTTCCCTGAGATAAACATCTTTCTTCACTCTTCCTACATCTTTTAAATGTCCCCTGGACTCTGCCCTTCTAATGACTTCTCCCCTTGGTCGCTGCCCTCTCCCCCAGTTCCCCCACTGATTCCATCCTCTTGACTGATCCTGTCCAGTGCTGAACCTGACCTTGGTAGACCTGCCAGGAATGACCAAGGTTCCAGTGGGTGACCAGCCTCCAGACATCGAGTTCCAGATCCGTGACATGCTTATGCAGTTTGTCACCAAGGAAAACTGTCTCATCCTGGCTGTATCCCCTGCCAACTCTGACCTTGCCAACTCTGATGCCCTCAAGATTGCCAAGGAGGTTGATCCTCAAGGTAAGACCTGGTCCAACCAGTAGAGGGGAGGATTGGTATACCCCACTCTGGTGGTGCCAGAGTAGGAGCTGAGAAAAACTGACGTTTTCATCCTCTCTCCTCAGGACAGCGTACCATAGGGGTCATCACTAAGCTAGATTTGATGGATGAAGGGACGGATGCTCGAGATGTCCTGGAGAATAAGCTGCTGCCCCTGCGGAGAGGTAAAGATCCTCCCTTTGTGCCCTGTGGAATGATCCCTAACTCGGGGGAACACCGCATGACCTTTGATCTCTGAACCTGGTCCCACAGGCTACATTGGAGTGGTGAATCGGAGCCAGAAAGATATTGATGGCAAAAAGGATATCACAGCAGCCCTGGCAGCTGAACGAAAGTTTTTCCTGTCCCACCCATCTTACCGCCATCTGGCTGAACGCATGGGCACACCCTTCCTACAGAAAGTCCTGAACCAGGTATTTAGGCAGATTCTTAGGGGCACTGGGTGGGTGGGGTGCACAGAGGAATCTGGTGGTGCTGGAAAGTGACCCAGGGCATTTGGGAGGTGAAAGTCAAGGGCTCTAAGGACAACACAGTTTATGTGAAAAGATAGAATATATGTGAACTAGCTGTCTGGGTGACCTTGGGTAAGTGTCTTCCCTTCTCTGGGGCCCAACTTTCCTATCTATCAAATGATTGGTTGGTCTTTGAAAGTCTCTTCTAGCACTAACATCCTGACTGCTGTAGACCCTGTAGCATTTCCCAAGTCACCTTTCTCCTCCTTTCAGCTGGAAACTCTGGGGCTTGGCCTGCCAGTTTCCCTTCCCAGCTACCACCCACCATTCTTGTATCCAAGGTTCTCTTCTTCCTGTTCCAATCACTCCAGAATAGTATGTAGGTCTGTAAGCTTCTCCTGTCCCTAAAGGCAATAGACAGTTGCACGAGGTCTAAAAAAGTGTTTTTACTATTAGTGACTACAGGAAAAGAGTATGAACCTAACAGGGAGAAAGATTCAGAGCCACTAGAAATAGGAAAATAATCTCTTGAAAATTCTACATGGCTCTCACTGGAAAATCAAATAAAGCTTGAGTCTTATTTTCTCTTTAACCTTCCCAGATCCTTGATTTTTCTCTTTTTAAAACAATGTATTTTTTATTTAAATGTCATTTTAAAATGTATTTTTTAAAAATTCTGAACTTAACACCAAAATTCCATGAGCTTTTCCATAGACAAAGAACGTAAAAAGAGGAGTGCATATGAAATTGTGAATCTCTATTTCATTCAACTCGTTTTTAAAGTATTCAGTAAATTCAATTTTATTTTCAGAGCTATTCTGCTTATCCTTCCTTCCTTCTGAACTTCTCATCTGAACATTTAAAAAATGTTTCTACTTGCCTATTTTTTTCTTTTTCTTCTATATTTTGGCATCACTATACCATTCCCTTCTAAATACCCCCAATTAAAAAAGAAGAAAAGTCTCTTTTTAACACATAATCAGAGTCATTCAAAGCAAATCCCCACCATGGCCATGTCTAAAAATATATGCCTCTTTCTTCACCTTGTGTTTATCACCTCACTGTCAGGAGGTGGGTAACATGCTTCATTAAGAGACAGCTAGGTTGCTCAGTGGATAGAATGCTGGGCCTGGAGTCAGAAAGACCTGGATTCAAATCCAGCTTCAGACACTAGCTATGTGACACTGGGCAAGTCACTTAACCTCAGTTTCCTCAACTGTAAAATGGGGATAATAATAGCATCTACCTCCCAGAATTGTTGTGGATCAAATTAAATAATATTTGTAAAATACTTTGCACAGTGCCTGCCACCTGGATAAATGCTTCTTTCCTTCCTTCTTTCTTTTCATTAAAGGTCCTCTGAATTGTCATTGCAGAGTTCTCAAGATTTTTGTAGTTCTTTTTCTTTACAAGGTCGTTGTCATTTTATAATTGGTTCTGTTTCTGCTCACTTCACTCTATCAGTTTATACAGTGTGTGTATATATATATATATACATATATACACACACATAAACACATACATCTATACTTAGATGCACATATATGTGTATATATTTATATAATACACACATCTATACTTAGATGCTTACATATGTATATATACACACACATATATATAACACAAATATATATGCACACATATATACATTCATATATGTATACATATATATACATCCATATATATTATATATATACACACACAAACACACACATATCTATACTTAGATGCGTGTGTGTGTGTGTGTGTGTGTGTGTGTGTGTGTGTGTGTGTGTATGCATCAGTTTCCTGGAATCTCTAAAAACATTTCTTTCATCATTTCTTGTGGTGCAATAATATTGTGTTTCATTCATATACCATAATTTGTTCAGCCATTCCCTTATTGATTGGTACCCCCTTAGTTTCCAGTACTTTTTCTTTTAATCTCTTCCTTCACAACCTTCTAAATTTAGTTTGTTTTGCTTTTGATTATTTTCTCCTCAGTACTATCAGCCCTCCTAACATCTCCCCAGTATTGTCTGCCTTCTTAACACTCCCTCCTTATTCCTGCCTAGATCTCTGTTGAATAGGATGTATTTCTATACAAAACTCTGCGTGTATTCAACCCTAATTTTTCCAGGTCAGACAAGGGTGAAGTTCATTTTATGCTTCCTTGCTTTCCCTGCCCCTTCATCTATGTTTGTATACTCTTTTTAAAAAATTAATTTTTATTTTATTTTTAGATTTATATTCTTTTTTTAGTTACATTTTAAGTTCCAAATTGTCCTCCTTTCTCATTCCTTACCCCGCACTAGAGAATGCCACCATTTGACACAAATTTATAAATATGTACAAAACCAAAACATGCGCACTTCTATTTATCATTTCTTTCTCTGGAGGTAGAGAGTATCTAACTTCATAGGCCTTTTCTAGTTGATCTGGGTACTTATCGTACTCAGAGTAACTTGGTGGTTCACAATGACTCTTTGAACAATATTGCTGTTACTGTATAAAGCGTTCTCTTGGTTCTGCTCACTTCACTTTTCATTATTCATACAAATCTTTCCATGTTTTTCTAAAATCAACCTGCTCATCATTTCTTTTTTTTTTTTCATTTTTTTGTTTTGTTTTTAGGCAATTGGGGTTAAGTGACTTGTCCAGGGTCACACAGCTAGTAAGTATCAAGTGTCTGGTCTGAGAATGGATTTGAACTCAGGTCCTCCTGACTTCAACGCTGGTGCTCTATCCACTGAGCCACCTAGCTGCCCCTCATCGTTTCTTTTTTTAAAAAATTACTTATTTTTAGTTTTCAACAATCACTTTTTTTTAATTTAAAAATTTTTTTTTGTTCTTCCTTTTGGAAAGTTTATTTATTTATTTTTATTAATTTATTTTGATTTAACAATAATCACTTTCATAAGCTTTTGAGTTTTAAGTTTTCTCCCTCTCTCTCCCCACCTCCCTCCCCAAGATGGTGTACAGTCTGATATAGGTTCTACATATACATTCCTATTAAACATATTTTCATGTTAGTCATGTTGTAAAGAAGAATTAAAACCAATAGGAGGAATCACAAGAAGAAACAAAACAAAACAGAAGAAAAAAATAGGAGCAAATAGTAAGCTTCAATCGGCATTCAAACTCCATAGTTCTTTCTCTGGATGTGGATGGCATTTTCCATCATGACACTTTTGGAGATGTCTTAGATCCTTGCATTGCTGAGAAGAGCTAAGTCTATCAAAGTTAGTCATCGTACAACGTGGCTATTACTGTGTACAATGTTCTCTTGGTTCTGCTCACTTCACTCAGCATCAGACCATACAAGTCTTTCCAGGTTTTTCCGAAGTCCACCTGCTCATCATTTCTAATAGCACAATAGTATTCCATTACATTCATATACCACAACTTGTTCAGCCATTCCCCAGTTGGTAGAAATTCCCTCAATTTTCAGTTCTTTGCCACCACTAAAAGAGCTGCTATAAATATTTTTGAATATGTGGGTTCCCTTTCCATTTTTATGATCTCTTTCAAATACAGCCCTATAAGTGCTATTGCTGGGTCTGCTTATCATTTCTTACAATGCAGTAGTTTTCCATCACAATCATACACCACAACTTTTTCAGTCATTCCCTAGATGGGCATCCCCTCAATTTCCAGTTCTCTGCCACCACAAAGAGAGCTGCTACAAATATTTTAGAACATATAGGTTCTTCTCCTTTTTACTGGGAAACAGACCTAATAGTGGTATTGCTGTGTCAAAGGGTATTTACACAGTTTTATAACTCTTTGGGCATAATTCTAGATTGCTTTCCATAGATTTATACTCTTTCCTTCCCATCTCCTCCTCTCCCCCTCCACCTCCTATTGAGAAAGCAGGAAAAATAAAACTCATTACAACCATGTATAGTTAAGCTTCTAGGTAAGCACAGTGTATAGAGTGCCCAGCCTGGAGTCAAGAAGACTCATCTTCCTGAGTTCAAATCTGGCCTCAGATGTTCACTAGCTATGTGACGCTGGGCCAGTCACTTACCCCTGTTTGCCTCAGTTTTTCATCTGTAAAATGAGGTGGAGAAGGAAATGGCAAACCACTCTAGTATCTTTGCCAAGAAAACCCCAAATGGGGTCGTGAAGAGTCAGATGTGAGTGAAATGACTGAACAACAACAATAATAAACAAGTGAGACAAATTCTCATTTTAGCCATGTCCCAAAAAATGTATATCCCATTCTGTACTCTGAGCCCATCACCTCTCTAGCTGGAGGTGGGTAGCATGCTTCATCATGAGTTCTCTGGAGTTGTGCTTTGTCATTGTATTGATTAATGTTCCTAAGTCTTTCAAAGTTGTTTGTCTTTACAATATTGTTGTTATTGTATACATCATTCTTATGCTTCTGCTCATTTCACTTTGCATCAGTTTTTGTATCTTCTTCTAATATCTCTCAATTATGATAAATAGTAGGTTCCATTTATACCTTTCCCCTTTCTATCCTGCTGTATTCCTTTTACCTTTCCTTTTCTTTTCCCTCCTAAAACTATCAGAAGAGAGCCAATACACACCCAGGTCCTCTATTTGTCTTACTTAATTCATTCCATGTCCTTTGAAGACATTAAGTTTCTGAAAGAGCACTTGTTTCTTCTGATTCTATTAAAATATTAGCTCCTCATCTTCACAGAGCCCCTTCCAATTGCTTGCATAAATGTACCTTTCTGGTTTCTCTTGACTCTTGTGTTTGCCTTTCAATGTTTCTATTCAGCTCTGGTCTTTATTCTATTAATATCCATTTTCCACCTCTAGGATTATACTCTATTTTTCTGAGTAAGTTAGTCTTAATTGCAAGTCTTAATCTTTTGTTTTTGGAATATTGTACTCCTAGATCTCTCACTAAAAGTGGAAGCTGCTATGTCTTGTGTGATCCTGATTGTGTTTCCTTAGTACTTGAATTCTTTCTTTACAACTACTTGCAGTATTTTTTTTTCATGTTG